CCCCACTGTATACATATACATACACTATATGATGAATACCCACTTTTGTTTCATAGCAACCATGTCAATTTTTTCCATTTCCTTTTAAAAGTTATTTATTGAGCAAGCATTTATAACCATGTATATTTTGAAAAATTGAAAAAATGTTAGCCATAATTTCCCCCCTGAAAAGTCTATTTTCTCACTTTCTTTTCTAGTTGTTCACTCTATGTAATATACATATTTAAATATTTATATTCATAGAATATACATTTAAAAATTCTACTTGTTCCCTTGACATAAAAATCATAAAAAATTTCCAAATTGTCACTCCACTTTCATGATCATAATTTATAGTGGTTATATAGCATTCTACTGACATTGTTTCTATTGTTTGACTAATATAATTAATGCTATAATGAAGTTATTTTTTAGAGGTGGAAATAGCTTTTTATCTCCTATAAAATTTGACTTCTCAGTCTAATTTACTGTTCTTACCATGCTTCTTATTCATGCAGAAATCTTAATGTATTTTTCACCCAGTTTCAAACTTAATATTCAGAGGAAATAAGTTGCCAAATTAATTATTATATTTGGTTGACTAGACTCATAATTAGGAAATTAGAATCTTAAAACTTATTTTTGTGTGAAGAATGCTCATATTTCTATGTTTCACAAATATGGTGACCACCAAAGCTGACTAATTTATTTCTAAACAATTAATTGTGGACCACAAATACTGACTTGTTTATTTTTAAATGTATAAGATGGTTCTTTCTTTGTTAAAATAAATGTCTATCTATGTGAATCCTAATAGATTACCTTGGATAATAAGACCATCCTTTCACTTTTTCTAGGCAGAAAATATTGGGCTCTTAATGGCTATGACATTCTGGAAGGTTATCCCAAAAAGATATCCGAACTAGGATTTCCAAAAGAGGTTAAAAAGATAAGCGCAGCTGTTCACTTCGAGGACACAGGAAAGACCCTCTTCTTCTCAGGAAACCAGGTCTGGAGGTATGGCCGCCATCTTTACTGACCCATTATCTTGTGTCACAGAGGCAAAGTGAGTCTTGTCCATCTCTCGGGACTTTAAGTTATTATCTCATGCATTATTTAAAATGTTGGACTGTCATATTAATTTCTGTTCTGTGTCAGCTCTTGCACGCAGCCTCTCAGACAGAGGTTTTCAAGTTTCAAGTCCTCTTGAAAATACACATATATTCATATAATTCTCACCACTCTTCTTTCTAAGCCATTGGTTGTAACTCAACTGTGCTAAAACCATCTTTTTTACACATATATGCTAAAACCATCCTTAACACAATAGAAAAGTATTCAATTCATTAACATATGTTGATTTTGCTCTAAAAACACTTTTCTAATAATCTACTTTCAAGCAATTTGTGAAATGGAAGTAAGCTTGTAACTGTCCTTACAAAGATGGCCTTTAAGCCAAGTCAAAAAATACTCACCAGACATCCACTATACACTCAGTATTGTAATTCCTTATTTTTAAAATCTACTAGATGTTTTAAATGAACTTAAAAATTTAAAACTTGTCAATTTTGAAAGATACCATTATATCGATTGTATTATTTCTAAGTACTTTCTAAGAAATACAACCTACTTAAGAGTTTTTTTTTTCTTATTAAATAGCTATGATGATACTAACCATCTGATGGACAAAGACTACCCCAGACTAATAGAAGAGGACTTCCCAGGAATCGGTGATAATGTAGATGCTGTCTACGAGAAAAATGGTAACTAATTCTGTTGCACTGGACATAATGGAATGCTCTATAGTCCCTCAAACTCATTCCCTTATAAAGGATTTTTATATAGGACTTAGATGTGCTCATAAATGTTGCCATGAAGGAGTTAGTCCGTCCGTGTGACTACTTCCACAGACAGCAAGCAAAAAATATCATGCTTAGCATAAATGAGAATTTTACTTAATGATTGTCAAACCTTAAACACTATCTAAAACCATGCTTAAAAATGCCAAGATGCAGGAGTATTGCCATAATTCAAATGAGAGGTAGAGTGGGGAGTACTTTATATATGAAGATCAATGGCTATCATAATTGTATAATGATTTTTACTTTAATTATGAGAAGGGATATAACCCCCAACTTAAAATAAATAACTAATATCAATACTTCAGGCATCAAAACAAGAACTCATGAAAAGACAACTAACTTGAGGTGATAATTTAGGTGAGCTGGGAAACTTTAGACCTTTCCCCCTCAAACTATAAGCAATATAGTAAAGCGTTAGCAGGGTTTATAAAGATAAGTAAATGTTGGCATATTTTTTAAAAAATGGCATCTGGCAGAATGGGCTTTTTAAGAGTAGCTGGAGTAAACCCTTACTGTTTTCAAATTTAATTTTTCTTTTTTTGGTCTTTTTCTTATAGGTTATATCTATTTTTTCAACGGACCCATACAGTTTGAATACAGCATCTGGACTAACCGTGTTGTTCGGGTCATGCCAGCAAATTCCCTATTGTGGTGTTAAGTGTCTTTTAAATGTTGTTATTTAAATCCTGAAGAACATTTGGGATAAGGATTCAAGGATCTGGGAAGGAGGGAGTGGGGGAGGGGCAGATATCAGGGAAAGCTTCGTTCTGTGAACAAGCTTCAGTAAGTTATCTTTGACTATATAATATCTATACGGCTATGCGTGGCTGGAACCACATTGAATTTTAAAGTAATAAAATTCAATTTCTCTAAGGATCATTTAATTTCTGTGTCCTATATAGAAGCAATAACTGACAATATTTCCCAGCATCAAAAAATGAAACATAAATGGTCTGTCAAGGAGAGTTAGCATAATTTTTAATATATTTATAAGGAAATTTTGCAAAGGCATAAGCATATCACATTTATATAATTAATAAGTCATCTTTGTCAAAAAATATAAAATAGTATAAAAATAGAATTTGGGGGGACCATATGGTAGCTATAGAAGAATAAAGATAAACCAAAGGGAAGTGTCTGTAATAAATATATTGTAAACAACTTTGCAAAGACATAATATGGGTTTTTCATTGAAGGATTTGGGTGTATATGTACCTTTTCATACAGACACTAAAGCCACATCAACGTCACTAAAGGTAGGAGACAGAGACTAATAGTGAGGACAGTAGATGAGGCCTTTGGATTCTGTTTAATTTTACTTTTAACAATGACTCAATGGCTACTTTCAAAGAACACAAATATCTCTTTGCTTATTTATAGAAGTTAAAGAGGAACAATCTCTCTGTATTCAAATATTTCAGGTCTTTCAAAAAAA